CCTGAAGCGTCTGTAACCCGAGGTACCACTGTATTTATATGATTCCTCCCCGCGCTTCTTTTCTACGCACAGTTATTCACATTTTTCTAGTTTTTCACATCTAGTAGCTAAGGGTAACTGCACATGATCATTTTTAAACTGTAATGATTGCAGCTCTCATGGTCTGCTGGCTCTCATAGGGTGCCTTCAAACCAACAGTGGATTCACAGCAGCTCACCATTTTCTGGCTTGGTCAACATTTCCACTCACAGTCAGTCACTGCTTTGCTGGTTCACCAGCTCCATCAACAATTCAGCTTAGGGTGGCCAAAGAAGAGGAAACACTTTGCAAAAAACAAAAGCAAAAACAAGTTACTCCCATGGAGTTCAATAAGGCTTGCTCCCAGTATGTAAACATAGGAGTGCAGCCTCAAGCAATTTGATTCTAGTCCTGTTAATGAGCAAACACATTCTTTCACTGCAAAGTGAGCCGTGGATAATGATGGTGGCTAATTCGTGTGGTGAGATTATTTCCAGCTGTATACAGTGGTACCTTGGTTCTCAAACACTTTTGTACTCAAACAACTTGGAACCCAAACACTGCAAACCCGGAAGTAAGTGTTCCGGTTTGCGAACTTTTTTCGGAAGCCGAACGTGCTCTGCTTTGAGTGTTACGCTTCCGTTTCAAGTGTTACGCTGACGTCTGTCTGTTTTTGCTATTTATTTTGCGTTTTTGTTTTTGTGCCTGTGTGGAACCCAGTTCAGCTTCTGATTGATTGTGTGACTGCAGTACATTGTTTATTGCTTTCATTTTATGGATCAATGGTCTCGTTAGGTAGTAAAATTCATGTTAAATTGCTGTTTTAGGTCTTGCTTTTAAAAGTCTGGAACGGAGCAATCCGTTTTGAATTACTTTCTATGGGAAACCACGCCTTGGTTTTGGAACGGACTTCTGGAACGGATTAAGTTTGAGAGCCAAGGTACCACTGTAATGCTAACATTTCCATTTGAATTCCCTTATGGTTGTGGCTTTGTATTTCACAGTTGACCTCAGAACTGTGGGAATTGAGCAAAGGTGGGGACCTAGACCAGGAAGCATCTCTAGGAAGGCTACCATTTGTTGGAGAAAGAGATCAGTGGCACAGAACCTCAGGGTGGCACCAAAAGCAGAAACAGAAGTGACAGGGAAGTGAATTAAAGTAGCTTAAATCTGAGGCTTACATGCAGATCAGACTCATTAATAATGCAATGGAAATATTTCAGTCACTTCAAGTAGATAAAAGCTTGTTGTTAAGGCATTATCTACCTGAAGTGACTGAAATATTTTGCATGCTTAATTAACGTAACTGGTACGGATTCAGGCACTGTTTCTTCTGCTTTCCGTTCTTCCTTAAACCGAAGAATCGCTTATTTTGTTTTTGCAAAGGTTTGTTGCAAAAGGATTTATCTCCCCACCGCCGCCTCTTTTAAAGCTGCATAAGCTTGTGACTGTCACCACAGGCTTGTTCACATGTTACATTAAACAGGGGTGCATACTGCCTCTACATGTACATGGTTGTGTGTCAGAGGGTCCGCTTCTTGTTTTGCACAGTGCAGCTATTGCATACACAGGAACACGGACTCTACATTTGTTGAAGATTGCATGTAAATTACTGTGAGAGTGCACAGCTCAATTGTTGTGTATATAAGTACACAGATGGCACACTCATTGAGTGTGAAGTCTCTCCAGTGTGGCATAATGGTTAGAGTGTTGGACTAGGACCTGGGAGATCGGGGTTCAAATCCCCACTGAGCCATGAAGCTCACTGGGTGACCTTGGGCCAGTTGCCATCTCTTAGTCTGACCTACCTCACAGGGTGGTTGTGAGGATGAAATGGGAAGAAGGAGAACCATGTACACCAACTTGAGATCCTTGGAAGATAAAGGTGGTTATATAAATGTTATAAATAAATAAATACCTACATACATACATACATACATACATACATACATACAGTGGTAACTTGGGGTACATACACTTCAGGTTACATACACTTCAGGTTACAGACTCTGCTAACCCAGAAATATTACCTCGGGTTAAGAACTTTGCTTCAGGATGAGAACAGAAATTGTGCTCTGGCGGCGCGGCAGCAGCAGGAGGCCCCATTAGCTAAAGTGGTGCTTCAGGTTAAGAACAGTTTCAGGTTAAGAACGGACCTCCGGAACAAATTAAGTACTTAACCCGAGGTACCACTGTAAATAGATAGATAGTATAAATACTAGGCTGTGAGTAGGTGGGCGGAGACTGTCATACCTTTTAATTTCTGTATAGCACTTGGAAAAATACAAACCATTATTATTATTATTATTACAAACAACAATAATAGTAATAATAATGCTGTAAGTCAAAGCCAATTCCAATTACTGGCAAGTCCTGGAAAATGTGGTGGACCTCATCCCAACTATTCAGACCTGAAGTCAGGTCTGAAGATGACTCAATATATTTCCTTTTATAATATATAGCTGTGGGTCATATTGGTTTATATATTAAATCCCTAGTGCAATCCTACCTGGTTTACAACATAATGTTCTCTGGAATTGGTTTAGAAGGCACGTGGAATGGGGAATGATTATCTGGAGAAACTCTGCTTGAAGTTGTAATCAAATTTTCAGCCACATTATACTGCTTGCTTTACGAAAACATTTAGAAGTTGATTTGCAAGTAAAATATTTTATTATACTAATATTAGGGCAGTTTATGCTACTAGTAAAATTTTTGCATTGTTTTAGAGACCACTCTTGGGTTGTAAAATTAACCATGTAAATTGTAAATCAAGTGAGAGAAGAAAGCACAGTGGCTGGCAGAAACATTTGAAGCATACTGATTTTAATAATACTGTGTGTTCCTGTTTAAATTTTAATTTGCTTAACCGCAGCATTTATTCTAATTTAAGGCAATAGCTTGCCTGCAACATGCAAGAATATGAATCCCACATAATACAACTTGCCTTATGACATCTTATGTCACCCCCCCCAACTATTCAGATTAGTGCTGAATCTGATCATCTGTTTGAGGACTGTGAAGAAGAAGTAAGAGATTTGATTCTTACTAGATCAGATGATTCACACAATTGCTGGCCATTTGCTGGTGATGCATATGCATGGCTCCATCTATCCATGCAGGATAAAGATGGCTGCCATCCATTACAGTGGTACCTTGGTTCTCAAACACCTTGGTACTCAAACACCTTGGTTCTCAAACACCAAAAACCCAGAAGTAAGGGTTTCGGTTTTCAAACATTTTTCAGAAGCCAAACGTCTAATGTGGCTGTCAGCTATTGTTTCCGGGGCACCAATTAGAAGCTGCGCCATGGTTTTTGAACATTTTGGAAGTCAAACGGACTTCCAGAATGGATTAAGTTTGGCGCTTTTGTTTTTGCTATTTATTTTGCGTTTTTGTTTTTGAGGCTTTTTTGGTTAATTTGTTTTTGCGACTGTGTGGAAGCCCCCACTGCCCCTAGGAGTTGGCTCCTATGTCACCCATCTGACTGGGTTGCCCCAGCCACTCTGGGTGGCTTCCAGCATATATAAAAACACAATAAAACATGAAACATGAAAAAACTTCCCTATACAGGATTGCCTTCAGACGGCTTGGGGGTTGGAGAACTCCATACCCTCATACATATCTCCAATGAAAATAGGGATGTCCTAAGGAAAAGCAGGACATTCTAGGATCAAATCAGAAACTGGGTTGGCTTCTGTAAATATGGGTCTGTCCCTGGAAAACAAGGGCAATTGGAGGGTCTGCCCATACATAAATTTATCCATACACATGGTGATCTCCACTACTGAACCAGGAGACTTTGCAAAGAGGGCTCTTCACTAGCTGTGAATCAAATCTGAGCTACAGCAGTGACAGCTTCTAAGCACCCTGACTGCACTGGACTGCTCCGGAAAAAAATGGTTTTGCATATGAATTGCCTTAATAAAGGCAACCTAAAGTTCAGGCTTCGACCACTCCCTGCCCCTGAAAAGGAGGATATACATTCCGAATGGTGAACTAGTGTCTGGGAATGTCTGTAAACAGCAGCTTCATGCAGTCTGACGTCTCCATAGTGAAGGCAGTCTGATTTAAATGTAATAAACTCATTAATCAATTAATAGATTTGAAGGAAAATGGTTATTAAAGTAAAATTTGTTTGAATCAGCTGGCAGCCCTGATGAAAATTCAAGGCGATTCATTAAAGCCAGCAATTAACAATTCTGAAAGATGAGATTCAAATGGGCAGAAATGTATTTATATTTTTACAGAAATTGAGCAGAAATATATAAAAGTAGAATTTGTTCTGCAGGTTTTGCATGTGGCTACTGTGGGTTAAGAATGTACTTTATTTGCTGTTGCTGTATAGGTATTGTTACTGAGCCCAAAAACCTTGCAGCAAGGCAGAAATCTCAACCCACCATATGTCTACAGATCAACGGATGTCATCAGAATTTGGTCAAGTAGGCAAAATCAACTTCCTGGGTGAAAAATAGAGAAAAAGAAGCGGAGGGTTGTAAAATGAATTATTCCAACAACATTTTTAAACATTATAAACCAACATGGACCCTACAACTAATCCAGAATGCGGCAGCTAGACTGGTGACTGGGGGCGGCCACCAAGACCATATAACACCGGTCTTGAAAGACCTACATTGGCTCCCAGTACGTTTCCGAGCACAATTCAAAGTGTTGGTGCTGAGCTTTAAAGCCCTAAATGGCCTTGGTCCTGTATACCTGAAGGAGCGTCTCCACCCCCATCGTTCTGCCCGATGCTGAGGTCCAGCGCCGAGGGCCTTCTGGCGGTTCCCTCATTGCAAGAAGCAAAGCTACAGGGAACCAGGCAGAGGGCCTTCTCGGTAGTGGCGCCCGCCCTGTGGAACGCCCTCCCATCAGATGTCAAAGCGATAAATAACTACCTGACATTCAGAAGACATCTTAAGACAGCCCTGTTCAGGGAAGTTTTTAATCTGTGATATTTTTGTGTATTTTTGGTTTCTATGTGTCAGGGAACTGCCATCGGTAGGAAGGGAGGTGAAAGGACTCAGACAGGTTGGAAGAGACTTAGCAGCTGAAGAGGAAACCAGCAGGGGGAGAGAAGCTGAACTGAGGGAGGTGAAAGGGCTCAGACAGGTTGGAAGAGACTTAGCAGCTGAAGAGGAAACCAGCAGGGGGAGAGAAGCTGAACTGAGGGAAAGGGAGCTGGGGGGATGGCTCAGAGATACTTCCAGCGAAAACAGTGGTGAGGTTTCCGGACCTCCTGTAGCGACACCCACTCCTCGCCGGAAACTGTCACGCAGAGAGTCCAGAAGACGTGTTTCCGTTAAGGAGCTTTTATGTTGGAAGCGATTACGAAAGCAACCACTGTCGGAATCTTCTAGTGACTAAGAGGAGCCATGTCAGAGGGGCTCAGTCACAGACAGAGGTTTGTGGACTTGAACAAACTCTGAGGGAATACGATTTTACGCACAAGCAGCTCATAATCCCATCACAGCATTCCGACAGTCTTTGAACGCAGCTTGTGCAGGAGAAGGCATAATGAGCAACCCAGCAGGAACCGGAGAAGCAGGGGCTGGAGCGGGTCCAAGCCTGGAAGAAAGGTACCGAGTGTTGGAGGTCCAGCTGGCGCTGCAGACGGCGAGGCTGGAGGAGAGGAGGGCTCAAGATGCAGACAAAGGGAGAAAGCCACCCAGCTCGCCAGAAAGGTACCAGGATTGGTGCAAAAATTTGGGGGGGAGCCCAAAGACTATCATAGCTTTCGGACAGAAATGCAATATGCCCTCAATCTGCAGTTTGATGATTTCCTGATGAGGAATCACGAGTGGCTTTTGTGATTGGGCATCTTGAAAAGGGGGCGAGAGACTGGGTTAGACCCCTGATGGCAGCTAATAGTGACGTCTTAAAGGACACGATGAAGTTCTTTCGCGCCATGGATCTGATGTTTTCCAGCGATATTGAAAAGGGAGTGGTGCGCAGACAGTTAATGGCTTGCAAACAGGGGAGCCGATCTGTACGTGAGTACTGGACTGAGTTCACCATGCTGATACACAGATTGGGGTGGGACTTATCGGCGGAACCCATTCAAATGCTCTTTGAAGAAGGGCTTTCTTCGGCTGTGAAAGATGAACTTTCCCGGGCGCCCAGGGCGGAGTCTATGGACCAGCTGACCAAATCAGCGCTGGCCATAGGAGCGCGCCAGGAGGCGAGAGCATTGGAGAGGCGGGAAGGGAAAGGGGAACGTTGGAAGGAGTTCCGCATTCCAGAAATTCCAGAGCCAACTGTCCCGCCGGCAGAGCCGATGGAAATCGGAACAGCGCGCGCGCGCGCAGTTTCAAAGCCCAGTGAGGGGGGAAAGAAGGATGGAAAAGGCGCCCGGAAATGCTATCTCTGCCAACAGCCAGGGCACTTTGCCAGAGTCTGCCCCCAGAGGAAGGAATGGCAAGGGATGGTGGGAGCTGTGGAGGGAAGAGAGGAAAAATACCGGAGCAACTAAAAGCCAACGCCTGGCTGCCATTGTCGGGGCACAGCAGCCAGGCCAAAGAGCAGTGAAAGTGCCCACTCCAGAACCTCCTAAACCCGCCCTAGTGATAGAAGTGACACTAGAGCTCCCAAACGGACACCCTCTAAAGATAAAGGCGCTGTTGGACTCAGGCAGCTCCTGCAATTTCATGAGCAAAGAGTTTGCAGCTGAACACCAGATACAGACGCTCCTTTAAGCAACCCCCTGCAGGTAACCACGATCGATGGCAGGGAGCTGTTGGGAGGAGAAGTCAGCTTGCAGACCGTCCCAATGATAATGAAGGTGGCAAGGCACACTGAACTGATAGCTTTTAATGTGGCCACCTTGGGAGGAGCTCCCATTATATTGGGGATGAGCTGGCTAGCGTTACATGATCCGCTGGTGGGCTGGCATCAGAGAGTGGTTTCTTTTGGGTCAGCACATTGCTTAGAACATTGCAAAGAGGGAAAGGTTTTGGCAGGGGCCCAAGCCACCCTAGCAGGGACTGAAGTGAAGGAGAACGTGAAGGTACCACGACAATACGCAGATCTCCGCGACGTCTTCAGCGAAAGGGAAGCTGACCAACTACCACCGCATAGAGCCTTTGACTGTCAAATCAATTTGCTCCCTGGGGCACAGCTCCCTGTGGGCAAGCTGTACGCCATGTCAGACAGAGAGATGCAGGAGCTAAGAGAGTTCATTGACAAGAACCTGAAGAGAGGGTTCATCAGAGAGTCCAGGGCGGTGGGGGCAGCCCAGTGTTTTTGTGGACAAAAAACACGAACAAGCCGAGACTGGTGTGTGACTTCAGGGCCTTAAATGCAGTGTCAGAACCAGTGGCCTTCCCGATGCCCAGGATTGACGACATTTTGACAAGGGTGCGAAAGGGAAAGATTTTCACCAAGCTGGATCTAAGGGGGCGTACAACCTGATACGAATAAGGAAGGGGGATGAATGGAAAACCACCATGTTCACCCCTTTAGGGGCATTTGAATACTTAGTTATGCCCTTCGGTCTACAAGCAGGCTCCGCAACATTTCAATCGTTTATGAACCACGTCCTGGGGCCGTTGCTTTACAAGAATTGTGTGGCCTTCTTAGACGACGTGTTGGTGTATTCTGAGAATGAGGAGCAGCATGTGAGAGACGTCAGAGAAGTGTTGAGCAGGCTGCAAGCCAACCAGCTGTGGGTGAAACTGGAGAAGTGTCAGTTTCATACCAAGGAGGTGGAATTCCTGGGGTATCGCCTGTCTGACAAGGGGTTGGCCATGGATCCCGGCAAGGTCCAGGCGGTACTGGAATGGAAAACACCCAAAACAAGGAAGGATGTGCAGAGGTTTTTAGGGTTTGGGAACTTCTATCGTAAGTTCATCCCAAACTTTGCCCACCTGACGGCGCCCATTACGGACTGTCTCAGCAGTAAGAAGAAGTTCGTTTGGACGGAGGAGGCGGAGCAAGCATTTGAGGAACTAAAAGGGCCTTCGCCTCGGAACAACAGCTCCTGCATGTGGATTTACAAAAACCGATGAGAGTGGAAACTGATGCATCAGACAGAGCGGTTGGGGCAGTGCTTCTCCAGCCAGGGAAGGAGGAGTCAGAGTGGAGACCGTGTGCTTTTTTTCGCGAAAGCTGAACAAATCCGAGAGGAACTACACGGTGTATGACCGAGAACTACTAGCCATTCATGAGGCGTTCCGGAGATGGAGGCACCTGCTAATTGGCGCACAACATAAGGTGCAAGTGTGCACTGACCACAAGAACCTAGAGTATTGGAGGACGGCACGAGTGCTCAACCAACGGCAAGTGAGATGGGCTCAGGAATTCTCCAAATTTAACTTTGAGATTTGTTACGTGCCAGGCCCAGAGAATATTAGGGCGGACGCTCTCTCACGCAAACCTGAATATTTGGAGGGGAGGGAGCACCCGAAGAGAGACATGTCATTCCAGAGGACCGCTGGGTGTGTGGGGCGGCATTGGTGGGACAAAGAGAACTGGTAGAAGAAACAGAGAATGATGAATACGCCCAGAATAAGCTTAGAGGTCTCAGGGATGAGGGAGAGGAATCAAGGGGTTTCGAGGAAAGAAATGGAGCTTTGTATTACAAAGGGGCACTGTATATCCCTGAAGGAGACTTAAGGGGGGAGGGTACTCAAGCAGTTGCATGACAGCCCCACGGCGGGGCATTTTGGGCAACACAAAACCATGTGGTTGGTCACCAGGGAATTTTGGTGGCCTAAGGTGAGGGAGGATGTACGTGAGTATGTAAGAGGGTGCGAGCAGTGCCAGCGAGCCAAAGGGGAAAGGCGGGCGCCGGCGGGGCTATTAGAACCCTTACCAACACCAGAACGACCTTGGGAGGCAGTGTCGATAGATTTTATGACTGATCTGCCGAAGTCCAAAGGGAAAACAGCCATCATGGTGGTGGTAGACCTACTAACAAAGATGTGCCACTTTGTAGCTTGCTCGCATGCAGTCACGGCGGAAGAGACAGCAAAGTTATTTGTAGAACACATTTTTAGGTTGCACGGGGTGCCATTGAGGGTGGTCTCAGACCGAGGAAAACAATTTACTTCCAGGTTCTGGAGGAAGCTCATGAGCTTACTGCAGGTGGAGGTCAACTTTCGACTGCCCGGCACCCTGAAACCAACGGGCAGGCGGAAAGAGCAAACGGTGTCCTCCAGCAATACCTGAGGTGTTATGTCAATGACAGAGAGAATGACTGGGTAGAAAAGTTGGCGCTGGCGGAATTTGCCTACAACAATGCCGAGAATGTGTCCACAGGGATGAGCCCCTTCTTGGCTAATTATGGGTGTCATCCCAGGGCTTTCCCAGGGGAGAAGGGGAGAGATGGAGCGTACCGGCAGCCGAGCATTTTGTAGAAGAAATGGAAGCAATCCACCGTCAGCTCCAACTCAACTTAGAAAGGGCGAAGGAAGAATACAAGAGGCAGGCAGACAAGAACCGAAGGGAAGGTGAAACCATAAGGGTTGGAGAGAGGGTGTGGCTGTCAACCCGAGGGTTGCCGTTCAAAGGAGGTTGTAAGAAATTAAGACCCAGGAGGTTGGGTCCCTTTGAGGTCATTCAACAGGTCAACCCAGTGGCTTTCAGGCTCCGGTTACCCAACCACATGAAACTGCACCCAGTATTTCACAGGTCGTTACTGTCACCGTACGAGGGGGGACGAGAAGGGATGGCCACTCGGGGACCGGTCATAGAAGAAAGAGAATGCAGCAGTCATGTGGCAGAAATCCTTGATGCCAGGTGGAAGGGGAATCAGGTGGAGTATTTGGTAGCGTGGGAAGGAGAACCGGAGTCAGAAAACACGTGGGTAATGGCCAAAGATATCAATGACGAGGTATTGATAGAAATGTTCCATCAAAGGTTCCCGCGGAAACCTCAGCCTGTGGAGAGGTTCCGGAGGGAATACTTTGGGACCACTGAGGAGGAGGAGGAGTTGGAAGGATGGGGAGATGGACTCGGAGGAGGAGGAGTGCTTCGAGACCAGGAACCGCAACAGGTGGAGAGAAGTGTTCGAGACATCGGAAGATGAAGGAAGTTCATTCCGGGTTTTGCCTCCTCACCGCCCGTAGAGGAGGGGCGAGAGGGGGTGAAGGGGGCCCTGGAGGGGAGGTGGATGTCAGGGAACTGCCATCGGTAGGAAGGGAGGTGAAAGGACTCAGACAGGTTGGAAGAGACTTAGCAGCTGAAGAGGAAACCAGCAGGGGAGAGAAGCTGAACTGAGGGAGGTGAAAGGGCTCAGACAGGTTGGAAGAGACTTAGCAGCTGAAGAGGAAACCAGCAGGGGAGAGAAGCTGAACTGAGGGAAAGGGAGCTGGGGGGATGGCTCAGAGATACTTCCAGCGAAAACAGTGGTGAGGTTTCCGGACCTCCTGTAGCGACACCCACTCCTCGCCGGAAACTGTCACGCAGAGAGTCCAGAAGACGTGTTTCCGTTAAGGAGCTTTTATGTTGGAAGCGATTACGAAAGCAACCACTGTCGGAATCTTCTAGTGACTAAGAGGAGCCATGTCAGAGGGGCTCAGTCACAGACAGAGGTTTGTGGACTTGAACAAACTCTGAGGGAATACGATTTTACGCACAAGCAGCTCATAATCCCATCACACTATGGAAACCCAGCCAGATGGGCAGATACAAATAATAAATTATTATTATTATTATTCGTTATCTGAGGTCCTTCTCCCTGGGTCCCTTCTAAGGGAGGGTGGCAAAACAAAGACAGGCCTTTTCAGTGGTGGCTCCCTGTTTAAGGAATGTTCTCTTCAGGGAGGTGCGTGTGGCACCATCACCAGCTTCTTTTGTTGCCAGGCAAAAACATGTTTCGGCCTGGCTTTTGGTCTTTAGCTTGGAAAGTGTTAGATAATGTGGTCTTTTTTAGTGGGCGGTGTGCGTGAGACTGCTTTTTATGTATCTCAGTGTTTTAAGTTTTTATTCTGTTCTAGCCTTATATTGTTCCTAATTTTTGTATTATGTTTTAAGTTACATTCAGTCTTTCTTTCTTTCTTTCTTTCTTTCTTTCTTTCTTTCTTTCTTTCTTTCTTTCTTTCTTTCTAAAAGACCAATAAATCCAGTAATTAATAGTACTTGACTGGTCAAGACACAGTCAGATGAGCACAGGGTTCAGAGCTATCCCATAATCGAAAGGGGGGGGACTACTAGACTGCAGGCAATGAATATGTACTGCCTTAAGAACAGTTTATTCACCTAGATGTATTACAGGGACCCATACCTAATGCCTGGCTTTCTTTAAGCCTTCTTTATTGAACAAATGGATACTGTTAAAACATAATTTAAAGCTAACAGTCCCACACTGATACAACCAGTTATTGAAAGACATTAAGCCAAGACATCTAGGCTGGAAATCAGAGTCGATGACCTCAATCCCCTTTCATAGATTATAGGATTATTCAAGCGTTTACAGGATAGAAGCCTGTCAATAACTACTCTGCCTGAACATCAATGGCTTTGTCATTGCTTGATTGTTTCTTGTTCTCAAAATAATCTGTCTAAAGTGGATCTCCCACATTTGATCTGAAGAGCAAGAGTGTCTAGGACAGCAATAGATGGTGGCATGCATTATTCTCACGCTCCTAGAGAGAGTAACGCTCTTCAAAAAAAATGGTGGGAGTTTTGTTAGAAGATTGTCAATCATTTATATAGCATATTTATTCCATAAAGTGCTTTATAATAGGGATGTGTAACTCCTTCCATAAACTTACACTCATTTTATCAAAACTCTTCTTGAAATTCTTTTACTGACTCTAAAAATTATTTGAAAGGATTCTCCAAATTCATTTTGAATGCTCACTTTAGGTGAATCCGTTTGATAACATAGGGATAACTATGGTTATATTTTATCTAGTCTAATCTTTCAGCTTCCATTGAGATTCCTGAGATTTTTTTTTACTTCATAAGAACATACGAGGAACCCTGCTGGATGAGACCAGAGGCCCATCTAATCCAGTATCCTGTTCTCAGAATGAACATCT